GAAAATCGTGGTCTTTGAGGATTACAGAGTCTTTTTGGAGAGATACGGTAAGGTGACTGTAACTGCATCACGAAAGTGCGTATCTTTGGCCGCACTTCTCGCGTAACTGTCAGAAACCTTGCCTGCTTGCTTTTCTCAGTCAAAGCTACTAGGGACTGTGCTATCGAAAGGTGCATTGCTCAGCCTCCAGTCTGTGAAATTCGCCGACTTGCGAATTTACGAAACACGTCCTCATGAATTTTGCCCAAATGTAAAGATCGCATATTTCGTCGGAATTGGAATTTCTCCGTGAGCGCTTGTGTTGTGGCTCTGTGTGCCCAGCACTCCTCGCCCTAGTGCTGTCCGCCTGACGACATATTTCCCTACTCCAGGACAGCTTCGGCGCTAATGCGCGCACTCTAGCGCGTCCGCTTGATGCCACACCCCAAACCCGTATAACACAAATATCACATTCACGACTAGTTCAAATTACATTTATCTACAAAAACACAAAATAACTACTACTAAAAACTACTAGGCTACTAAAAAGAGGAAAAGAAGGCACGGGGCGAGCCGCCTCGTCCCGTGCTGCCGATGCTCCACGATGATCGTCTCCAACATGTGTTCCGGGTTCTCTACTGAGTCAACCGCGAGCCCCTAACCCTTCCGGGTCGGTGTGACCCCTCTCCACTCCCGCAATCCTTTTCTTCTGCGCGACACCACAATATAAGCAGTGCGTCTCCACAACCAAGAAGATGACAAAGGCTCAACCGCTCGAACTGCTGATTATCTGCGGGAGCTGCTGGAGGCGCTGCCAGCACGAACGATATCATAAAACGATCGATACGAACGAAACTCGAAGAGGCGTAGGCCGCGGCCCGCGCGCCCCTATATACCCTGTGACTTGGCAACGGGCCCAGCAGGAGAGGTATGGCGCAATGAGTAGCGCACCAAGTAACGCGATAGCCAGCGCTCCCGGCCTCCTGATTCGAGAAGTGGCTTGCATCGCGAGCCGCGACAGCTTGTACAACGCGCTGATCAAATCCCTTCACATTTTTAATGAATCTTATTGCGTTAGATTTGGTGCTATGAGCTCTAGCCACGAAATAGCTTTGATATTCAATTGAGCAGCTGAAACAGACGCAAGCACTATATTCAGTACAGTGAGAGTCGTTTGACGAAGCAAACATAATATCTGCAACGAGCGTCATACAAGCGCTCACGGAGGAATTTCGACGAAATATGCGATCTTTACATTTTGGGCAAAATTCATGAGGACGTGTTTTCGTAAATTCGCAACTCGGCGAATTTTACAGACTGGAGGCTGAGCAATGCACCTTTCGATAGCACATTTCCTAGTAGCTTTGACTGAGAAAAGCAATTCTGACAGTTACGCGAGAAGTGCGGCCAAAGATACGCACTTTCGTGATGCAGTCAGTCACCTCATCGTATCTCTCCAAAAAGACTCTGTAATCCTCAAAGACCACGATTTTCGTAAAGAGCGTGTTCGAACCTCTATAAGCAAGGTTTCTTTACAATTCAAGAGCATCAACATTTTGACCAAAATCCATCGGCGAGCTTCCGGAGCGTAAAACGAGAAAAACCGAACATATCGGAAAACTTGCTCGTAGAGGTTATGCGACCTGCTGATTTCGAAACTCACATCTGCTTAGCAAGATAGCTTCGTATCCTGCGGCTATGGCGAGAATTTGGGACGACAAGATCTTTCCACAATTCGCCACTATTTCCTTTGAAAAGAAACCTGCGGCTACTATTTAGCACATCATAATCTACAAAAAAAGTGCTATCGAAAGATCCTTGCTGGGATGTACTCGGGACAATGCTCGCTGCTTTACACCTTCGCGAAAAGACGTCCTCAGAAAGATTCAAGAGTACTAAAATCGAAATATCAAGGACATGCTGTATACGAGAAGATTCGCCTTGATGGGCTGAGCAAGGCGCTGTTTTCGAATTTAAATTGTACTTTTTCCGAAGGAAGTTATGGCGAGTAGAACTTAAAAACGCATGTTTTTTTCAAAATCCACCAACGCTTCTATCTCCTTTGGAAAAAAGTCTGAGCCTGTTTTTTAGCGCACAATAATCTACAAGAACAGTATTACCGAACAGTACTTAGTAAAGTCTTCTATGTTGGGTAAGCGTTGCTTCACGTATTCGCGAAAGGACCTCCGCAGAACAAATTGAAAAAACTGGAAACGGAATACCGAAGACATCGTATCCCCATTTCCAATATATAGGAGATTCTCCGCGCCGAGCTGAATCGAATGGTTGCTTTGGATTCAGAATTCGTCCACTCTGAAGCGAGATCAGGGCTCGGCACGAGGTGGCTAGATGAAAATGGAAAAAACGAAGTCCCCCTTGACCCTCAACCAAATTTCCTCTAAAAACCTGAAAAATTCCCCAAAATCCCCCAAAAAACGAAACGTCGACTAAAAAAAAAGGTCGCCGTCGCCAATTTTCCGTGTCTCTTCGGTCACAAAAACGAAACCCCCTTTGCTTTTCGTCCCAAAAAACGATACCAGCTGGCTTACAAGCCACCTGTGCCGAGCCGTGAGCGAGATATGGCCACGCGACGGTGATGTCCATACATGTATTGACATGTATGGACAAATTGTTGTTGCTACATGTCTATACATGTATGGACATGCCCGTACAGTCCATACATGTCCATACATTCGCGTCTATTTTTCAAAAAATGTGAGCGTATTGTATGTGGCGTCGTATGTTTTCTGACGTGGACGCTAAATTGGTTATTTTTTAAGAACTAGAGCACATATTAGTCACTGCCGGCTTAAAGGCAGTGTGCAGGCTAAACCTAACCCCCTCAGATTAGTGTCGATCCTGAATGTAGGCCCCCGTAAAGGGCATCTGTGTTGGTCCGGTCTTCTAATGTTGTCTCTGAATCGAGGGCCTGGAAATCCGTGGATGGGCGGAGTCTGATATCATTCTCCGCCCAGCCAGGGTCTGCCTCTCGACCGTACTGACATGGCAGCGAGCAGAAGCTGCACACTACTGCAACTGCACTCATGCAGCTGCAGCTTCTCCCCGTTGGCATGCCGACGATGACGAGAGATTCGAAACTAGTCCGCGTCCTCAAGACAGAGTCCCCAGGAGTCGGGTTTTTCGTGAATTTTGGGGAGTTTAAAGTTCGGAACTGTAATCAGGGTCACAGGAAGGCCCCAGAATGACGAAAACATGGGGGGCCAAATTCTGGGTGGACGCTGCCTTTAAGAAGTTTGTTTGAGGGAAGGGGATGGAAATTCTCCAAAAAGGGAGGCGTGGCAATAACCACCCTGCAAAAACTTTTTGATTTATCTTTTTGACTCGCAGCGTACAATACAACTAAATCTCAGACTTTTTGCGTGTTACGTTAATGTATGTTGAAACTCAAAAGCTTGTTTCATATATGGGCAATAATATCGGTATGCATGTTTGCGACTGTCAAACGAAACGAACATTTCTTAGCGAGAGAATGGTTATCCTTAGTCCAATGCTATCGTTAATAAGTAATTTTGAAATGTTCGCAAATTTGAGAATTCAAAATATTTTTTGGGTCGAGTGATAACCTTTCGTAGGTACTTCTTTATATACTTGCATTTCTCTTATCAAGAACCGTTCTCTCTCGTTCAATTGCAGGAATACAATAAATTGAGCCTTTTATTTCAGATTCAGAAATCCAGATGATGATGATTATTTTGCCTCAAAGATGATTATTTTTGCCTCAAACTACCTATTCCGCTCAATCATATTTATATGATTGAGCGGAATAGGTAGTTTGAGGCAAAAATAATCATCTTTGAAAGTAAACTTGCTGAACAGCATCTTGAAAGCATTGGTATTCATTTCAGACACTTTTCTGTTTCTTGTCAAAAAAGAAGTTTTGTGGAAAGACTTCTGAATCTTTTCAACCCAACACTATTTTTTAACATAAAGTTGCTGCTCCTGATCAGAGGTTCGCAAATGTTTAAAGTTTGGAAGACAAACAATCTCAGCAAGTTATAAACCGCTACGTGGTACCAGAGAGGTGAAGGCTGCAGATTTATCACAGAAGGGATCGCGAAAATTTGAGAAGGCAAGTGTTAGAAGTCACAGTGCCCTTTTGACGTGAGATGGGTAATTTGAATCTGAAGCATTCAAAACATCTCAAGCAGTTTGAGACGATGATTTTAAAACAGCTCTTCTTAGCTGCAGAACAAGTCTGAAACAGGAGTCATGGTTATTGTGATCAGCAAATTACAAATTGTCTCGAAAAAACTGTGATAGGAAACTTTTCAAATGCTTGTTAAGCACTAAAGATAACATTGAAGAAACAGTAGAAATGCCTAAAGTCTTTACCCATGTTTAAGACCAAATTACATGGACTATGATAGTTTTGTCTACTTTCATCGTTGTAAATTTCTCGCAAATCAAATTAAATAACTCCCAACCCAAATTCGTACTGCAGCTAAGAAACGCTGTTTTGAAATCAGCGTTTCAAGCTTCAGATGATACCTAACTAATGTTGGAAGCCCACTGAGATTTCTAACACTTTCATTGTGAGTTCGTTCACGCACAGCACATGATAATATTCAAAAAATTGTGATTTTTTGCTATTCTAAATAAGTAGTCTAATTCTTTTTGCATTTGACATTTCACACTTCCAGATTGACATAATTTTAGAATTATAGATATGAAATCTTGAGATCTGTCAGTGCGTAGTGCAACATGAACATGAGTTTAAATCGGTCTGTTTTATTGGGGCACTACCGCAAAACTGATCCGTTAATGGCGAACGCTGTAAGGGGCTCAAACTCCATCAAAAAAGTTCGTATGCTTTTCATGTCGTAGAAAATTATGTAACAACATAATTATCTATGTGAAATCCTAAGCGCGAGTAAGCTAAAGCTATGACTGAAATAGCTTCAAATCAAACTTTTCAGTCAACACGTCACAAATCCAGTCGTGGATGGAACATCCGCAATCGTTTCTCTGTAACTTCTCAAAAATCAACTTTTTTCAGAAAGATGTTAATGTCAGTGTTGGTGCTCCTTCTATCCGTGACATGTGTCGTTGAAGCAGGCGATGGTATATCAATTAAATTCGAGGAGAGGCAGAGGGCCGAAGTCGCGGCATTGGACGATGAGACGCAGGAAAATGCTAATGGTAAAGGAGGGAAAAAGATTGCCCCTGCTATCAGCAATGGTAAAGGCGTCAATGATACAACGGCCAGCAACGTAGTACGCTTTTTAATCAGGAATTCTGCGTTACTTAAAAACCTGATATGTGAATGATGTTGCAGAATGTCTCTAAGCCAAGGGAGACAGAAAAAGTGGAAGATGGAAAGGTTAGTGTTGTGCGGCCCGTCAAGAGGAGAAAGAGGAGCAAAAGCAAGAAATGCAAGCAAGGGAGGAGGAACTGTAGCCGACGACCAAGAGCAAAGAATTCGCGGAAGAGACAAAGGAGGCATACGCGCCGACGCGTCGCGCCGAAGTCGCGCCGACGCAACTGAAGCAACAAAAAAACATTTTTTCGATTGGCGAATTCACGGCTTCACTGCCGCAGATCGCTGTAGCAAAAATTGGAAAAAAAATTATTTTCTAATTTGTTTGCCATCAGTACTAAGGCGGAATATAAATCTCCTATTTCTAAGTCATCTCAATGAGTTTCTTAAAGGTAGGGGCCTATTTATAGTCCTTTTACTTTACACTGATCATTTAGCATTATTTTGTTTTGACTATACTCAAAGGTCTGAAGTCGCAAGTTCTCGCATGCTGGCGGACGGTTGCGAAACGTCTTGAGAAGCAAGCTTATTTATGAAGACCTTGAAGGGGCAGATTTGGGAGCATCTATTTCCAACGCTTACTAAAGCGGGCTTTCTGCAAGCCATAGCCCGACTGCTAGTGCAAAGTACTACTTGTGGAGCGAGCAACTTCAAAAGTGTAAACAGACCCGCTTCTCCTTACCGGCAAGAAATCGCGTTGGGACCACCGTTGCAGCCAATGACAGCGTCGCAAAGGCCGTGTCCTAGAGCTTCCGGCTTCGGCAAGGACGATTGTGAATCAAAGGGGGGGGGTCTGTTTATCTGAAGCTGTTGTCTTGCTCCAGAAGCAGTATTTTGCACTAGCAGTCGCGATATAGCGTGCATGAAGAACCCGCTCTGGTAATGCATCGGAATTAGGTGCTCCCAAATCTGCCGTGACATTGCCTTTTACGGGGAGTGTTGGGTGGGTTGTGTTCCAGGCTTTCTTTGTACTAGGAAATAAAAAATGTGAGCTTGAAACCGTACTTGCGGATTTGTTTGAATGACTATGTACTCAGCGAATACAGAAATTTTGAAAGTCTGGAATGTTTGGAGCTAGACCATAGATCATTTACAGAAAGTGAGAGTTTTATCCACTTCTGTTGGCTAGTTAATACGAGTGTCCACCCGTACTTTCGACTTTCCGAAAAGGTTCTTTCCATTTTCACAAGCTCGAAGCCTTTTAGGCTTATAAGGGCAGAAGAGTATTGCGAGGAGGTCTTTTCAGTGTACATTCTCTACTGAAATTCCAATGAATCATGCCCATTAAATGCCATCAATATTGTTACTTGTCCTTTGACCACCACTTTGAAAAGCTGATGTTTCCCTACAAGCGATACGTTTATGCTTCATGTTGTACAACCATTCTAGTCAAGAATCTGCGGCGAAAGCCGGCCCCACTGCAACGAGTACCGTATACCTAGCTCAACTATGTGAAGTTCTCGAGTGTGGTGAATCTATATCGAAAAATGCTGTTTTCACAGCTAATGTTCTGTAAAAGCACCAGGCAATGGATTTTTTAAGAAGTCAGAGTCACACATATATGCTCAGTTTCAAAAAAAAACTTCGCTGATAAGCGAAAATCACCACTTTACATATGTTATAAATATGTTGGTTATTCTCAAGTTGCGCTTTCATATGTTCGTGACAGCGAACTGTACGGCTGTTAATACATGTCTTCTTTGATTACTCGGTAACAGACGCATGCTGTAGTAGTCAACACTCAATAGGGTAAAAATTATAATGATTCCAAAATACAGGGTGTCCCAAAAAATGTATCGAACGTTTGATCGTTATATCTCTCTTCCCAAGAAGTCTTTTGCCTTGCTTCAGGTACCGTTTTGTAGAGCTGGCTTCAACTTAGATTTGCATTATAGAACGAATCACCATCTCTCTTCATTACTGTAGGGTTACGGTAGAAACTTGAAACATATGGTGTCAATGTGGAAAAAGCTGCCGTTTTAAAAATTTTCAAAAAAATGTGAAAACTTGTGCAGTAGGATTTTTATGGACGCTGAGTTCAATACTCAACTACTCACAAGATTATGAGGCTTTCTAATAACCGCACTTTTTAGGAACATCGAAAAAATTGCCGCTACCTCTTACCTGGCATAACTCTTCAATGAAGCATCATAATAAACTGGGACAATGAAGCATCATAATAAACTGGGAACTTTACAGTTATAATCAGCAACTCTATTAGCCTAGTGTAAAAGTTATCAGGCTGTTTTGTTTCCTTTCTGGGGCAAAATATAGCCTTTCATTGCTTAAAACCCTTTTTGAAGTTTCTACCGTAATCCTACAGTAATGAAGAGAGATGAGTGATTCGTTCTATAATGCAAATGGACAAAACTGGCATATGGAGTGCTCAAAATGTATTTCCAATTCAATGGTCAACAATCCCTTTTCCCAATGTCTTTTGGGACCAGGATTAAAACGATGTTTCCAATCACTCTTACAACATGGAAATATAAAAAAGGAATACATACCGCATCTTTACTAGGCAATCACGGTGAGAGGTTGAAGACCTTCAGCGCTTCACGCTGTTAATCTACAGGAAAAACCTTTCCAGCAAAATCGAGCTTGAAGGCAGTGGATGGAATTGGCCTTTTCTCGGAGTTTGGTGATTTAATTAGTAGACCCTCCAAGTACATTGAAGCCCCCATCTCACCCTCCAACTCACAATCCTGTGAAGCATCTACAAAATTCCACCAGCCCCCCCCCCCCACTTTCATTGGATGGGCCTCACTGGTGTTTTAAGCGCGTTTTTCAATGTTTAGCTCATAAATTGGCAGGTGGGATTTGGGCCACAGTGTACCTAGAAGGTCTACTACCTAAATCTACCAAAATCCGGAAGGGTCCATTTTGCCGATTCACTGCCTTTAATACAATAAACGAAGTCGACTGATTTTATGTGAACACTATACAGCCTTCAAAATTGATAGGCCTTACAAGAAACTACATTCACTTTTTAGATCAGGCTTTTTCAGAACCTCCACAACAGAGGTTTCTGAATCCTCCAGATTTTTGTATCGGCAGGTGGTTCAATATGGTTTTAGCTGCTAAATTCTTTTAACATATAGTTACACTGAAGAAAATTAGGCAATAATTCGTTTTTATTTTGTAAATCTAAATTAGTTGGCAAGCTTAAATTGTATTTGAACTTCACAAAAAACATAAAGGCAAGCGAATTGGCTATCAAATAGATGTACCCAGATCGCAAGCGAAGATCAACTCCGAGTAAAAGAGCTGCGCCTGCGAAAAATTTGGACATAACTATACAAAGAACACCTTCACTGCACAGCCGGAGAAGAAGAGCTGACCGCTGTGTTGCGATAAGTGCATTCTGCTGTCAACATTGATATTCGAGATCTTATGAAAAAAAGGTTTTAATTGTGGGCAAAATTCTTCAAACTGCTTTCTGCAATCCCTTTCGGCTCGGTACGATAGATAAAATGGCTCTCTAGCCTTTTGCACGAAACGAATGCACAAAATCACCAAACAATTTATTTGAACAAACGAATTAACATCGACAAAAGGAATAGTATCAGTGAAATAAACGGTAGGTGAGGTAAAAAAGAAAAAACTATCCATAGCTTGGAGAAATCCTTGGATTGCTCAGCGCCGCGCTATTTATCCCTAAAATGCGCGCCCAACGGTAGCTTAGCGGCCCTTTCGTGTGTTGCCCCAATGATCTCCACATTTCACCGTTTTCCTCTAGATCAAATGAGGTAATCGAGCATAGAAGACCAACTCTTAGCAATCACTAGTTGGATACGGATACCAGCATTTTAACAATAAAGCATAAAGCTTCGTCAAGATCATGCAGTCTGCAATAATGCTGCTATCCCACTACGTTCTTGGCGTTTTGAGCATCTGTCAGCAGTGATAAGCCCTTTTCAAGCCCAAAATAGGAGTGCACTGAAAATGCCTCCATTTCAACAAGAAATTTTTTTTCAAAATCCTTGCCCTGCTTATCTATTAACGTGTGGTTAATATTAGGTTGGCACGAAAGTTCTTGCGTAATTCAAACAAAATTCAATAACTTTTCAATGCCTAAACTTAAATTCACAATCTTGTTCACAAAAAATATTATAATTTCTGCGCTTCATGATGGACTTTTAAGCGCAAGATTCCATGAGCTAGCCCCCGAGAACGAAGCTCTCAAAGATGAGGCTTCAAATTTTGCGATTTTGAGTTTGGTGCCAGAAAATCGCAGAGGGTCGCTAGGTCGCCGAAAAAAATCTGTAAAAATCACTTACACGGTAGAAGTCCATATGTTACTTTGGAAGGCTTTGTCTTGTACAGTGAAGCAAAAACAAGAAATTTTGAAATATGTCATTTTGCGGAAAAAATCCACCCATTACTGCAGTTTTTCTGCAAAAACACTTTTTTACACTCCAGAAAGCGTGGCAAGGTTCTAAATAGGCAATATGTCTTATTTCTGGTTGTAAACTGTGTTTTTGTGGAGAAATTACGGCGATAAGGAGATTCCTCCTGTAAAATGACAAATTCCACAAATTTTTTGCTTTCGCATATTCATGCATTTCCATGCGTGATCAGAGCCTGCTAAAATAAGGTATGGACTTCTGCTGTGTAAATTAATTTCTGCAGATTTTTTTCGGCTAGCTAGCGGCCCTCTGCGATATTCTGGCACCAAACTCAAAATCGCAAAATTTGAAGCACCATATTTGAGAGCTTCGTCCTCGGGGGCTAGTTCATGGAATCTTGCGCTTAAACTTCCATCATGGAGCGCAGACCTTATAATATTTTTAGAGAACAAGATCGTGAGTTTAGGTTCAGGCGTTGAAAAGTTATTGAATTTTGTTTGAATTACGCAAGAACTTTCGTGCCAAGCTAATAGATAAACAAGGCAAGGATTTTGAAAAAAAGTGTGTTGTTTGGACGAGTTTTAGCTGTATAATAGCATTGGAAGTGAAGTTCTTCTGCACTTTTTCAAATTTTTCGCTTGTTTTTTGCTCATTTGTAGAGTTGGGAGGAAAGGGGGGGGCTTGCGGTTGAGTGGGCGGAATCTAGTGAAGTGAATGGAGCCTTGGGGTTTGAAGGTGGGTGTGCGAATCTTCAAAATTGGTAAAATCGAAATTTTTGAGCTTGCGAAATCTCCAAATTCTCCAAATCTCCGATTTTATCAATTTTCGGGATTTCGCAACCTCCAGAATATCGATTCTGACGATTTTTGAGGTTTTGTAGTTTGCGAAATATCGAATTTATCGATTTTTGCCAATTTTCGGGATTTCGCGCCCTCCAGAACCGAATTCATCGATTTTTGACGATTTTCGGGGCTTCGCAACCTCCAGAATATCGATTTTAGCGATTTTTGAGGTTTTGGTGGTTTACTAACTCTAAAATATCGATTTTATCGCTTTTTAGTGAATTGTAAGCCCCGCCCACTTTTGATGCGGCTATACACCCAATATGTGATTAATTCCTTCCAGCAAATCCATTTAGCCTTTATTTGGGCTTTCCTGCATGTAAATCAGCAGAATTGGAGAATTTC